AGAGAGTGAGAGAGAGAGAGAATGAGAGAGAGAGAGAATGAAAGTGAGAGCGAGACAGAGAATGAGAGCAAAAGCAAGAGAATGAGAGCGAGCGAGATAGAATGAGAGAGAGATAACACAGTGTGGAGCTGGAGGAACACAGCAGGCCAGGCAGCATCAGAGCAGCAGAAAAGTTGACGTTTCGGGGTGGGACCCTTCTTCAAAAAGAGACAGAGAATGAGAGAGGGAGAGAATGAAAGATGGAGACATTCATCAACCTACTTTTCAACCTACAGAGACTCAAATCCGAACAAATTACCCCTTGAGATCAAATGTTTACATCAGACTTAACTAATTTTCCCAAGTTTCTGTCTTGTGAATTGTGGAGTCTTCTTGCATGAATACTCTCAAAACTGAGAGCTTAAATTTTCTCAGCTTTTAATAACCTGCGTATTTCTAACCAAATACTCCGGGCTGTAAAGTTTCACAAACTAAACATTTCCACTGTGGTAACTGTATTTTCCACGACCAGCTCTAAAAACAAACTTGTTTCTTGGAGAGAAACTATATTGGCTTTTGGCCCTAGTCAAACTACTCTAAAAACATTCCAACTCTGCAGTTTCTAAACTTAAATTAATATTTGATTATTCTGAACTGAAGGCAAGCCAACAGGTTTTCATGTTTACCCTGGCTGGCATAAACCACTATAACATAACCAATTTTCCATTAACACTCCAGGAGGTTTGCAGTCAACTATTTACTGTCACATATTGGATTATATCACTGTCTGGAAGGATTGTCTAAAGCAGTTTTCTACCTTTTCAAAACAAAATTCTTCACAAAAGTAACAAACACTCATATGCCACTATTTTGAAATCCAAACTCCAGAAATGATGTTTGCACATAACACCTTCCATCGCACCCCATCGGGCAATGTTCCACATAAGTCCTCAATATTCAAATTTAGCCCTGGAACCTGCTGATAAAGGGTCTAGGCCCGAAACGTCAGCCTTCCTGCTCCTACGATGCTGCTTGGCCTGCTGTGTTCATCCAGCTCTGCACCTTGTGACCTCTAAACCTGGTTAGGCCACTCATCATCTCATTTTTGAGTGGGTTGTCCAAAACTTCTTGATGAATCAACTAAGTTTAAAGTAACAGCTGTCACAGGTGAAGCATTTTTAGTTCTTGAAGATCACCAATAGTAAAACAATGTGATTTCAAACCTTAGCAGGCCAAGCAGCATCAGAGGAGCAGGAAGGCTGGCGTTTCGGGCCTACATTTTCTGAAGAAGGGTCTAGGCCCAAAACGTCAGCCTTCTTGCTCCTCTGATGCTGCTTGGCCTGCTGTGTTCATCCAGCTGTACACCTTGTTATCTCAGATTCTCCAGCATCTGCAGTTCCTACCATCTCTGATCTCAAACCTTGGTCAATTATAGTCTGTACTATAGCCTCTAACCTCAGTCAATTACAGTCTGCACTGAGACCTCAAACCTCGGTCAATTACAGTCTGCACTGAGACCTCAAACCTCAATTACAGTCTTCATTCACCTCAAACCCCAGTCAATTAGTGTCTGCAACAATCCCATTCTACCCTTCAGCTCTGGATTTCATTGGATTTCCTATCATTACCATCACAACATCTCGTCCACATTTTTACTGAGCCATGTGTTCCACTTACATGTGACGCTGTAGAGTGCAGCTCCTTTTTTAACAAAAAACTTATGAGAAAACGAGACAGATCAGTGATGAGAACTGGCAGAATAGGGAGAGCTGGAGATACATTGGAAAGAGTCAATTGATAGCAGCCACGTTATCTTACCATTAAACCACCGATGTTTAAACCCCAAAACCTCCTCAAAATCACATCCCTTGAACCTTTGCTCCCTGCTTCCCACTCCCTGCTTGCTCCCATTTCCGTACCTTTGGAACGTGGAAGCTGGGAGTCAGCAAGTAATAATCTGCTTGGTTTCCATGAACACAAAGAAGCAACCAAAACAATGAGATAACAAAGTGTACAGCTGGATGAACCCAGCAGGCCAGGCAGCATCAGAGGAGCAGGAAAGCTGACGTTTTGGGTCTGGACCCTTCTTCAAGGTCTGAAACGTCAGCCTTCCTGCTCCTCTGATGCTGCTTGGCCTGCTGTGTTCATCCAGCTCTACACCTTGTTATCTCAGATTCTCCAGCATCGGCAGTTCCTACTATCTATAACCAAAACAATGACTTGTATTTTTGATATATCCTTTAAGAAGCTTCACAGGAACATTATCTGATACAGTTTGACAGGCTCACAGATTTGGACAAGTCACAAAGGCCTGATTCAAGAGGTCGGTTTTTGGGAACAACTTGCAGGAAGGATAAGGGCACAAAGCATAGTGGGGGGGGTTGGGGGAGGTGTGGGAATTGGAATGGTGTGACCTCTAGGCAACTACCACTGGTGATGGGAAGGCAGGATTAAACCGCTGATGCGGTGGTGATCTCCAACACTTGCTGGCGGCTGTGGTGGAGGTGAACGACCCAGAGCTGGCTGGTACAGATATGGCTTCCTTTGACCCACAATCCCTTCACCGTTATTCACCTGGGTCCGTAGCTGAAATCAGAGCTCCGAAAAATAAACAGTCAGTGAAGTAGAAGTCATGTCTGTTTAGCTGGCCAAGGCTGATCATCGCCATGACAAAACCATACATGATGCCCCTGAAAAACACAAAAGAAATAACAATGTGATTCACAAGCACAGGCGTCCCTAGTCTTGGCCTACTTGCTGCTTTGAATTTCATTTCATTAATAGCTGGTTTGCTCACAGAAGACGTACTTCAAACACCCATCTCAACCCTCACATCTCTGGAGAGATGGTGGCAATAAACTACATTTTCTATCGTTTCACAAAACTGTACAGGGAACAGGAAGAAAACAGGTCCTTTGTAAAATGCTAAGAGAGATTTGGATCACCCCAAAGAGTTTTAGGATAAATAAAGTGGCTTTGAAATGAACCTGTTGTAACATTTGAGTCATAGAGGTAACACAGCATGGAAACCAGGCCCTTCTGTCCAGATCGTCCATGTTGGCCAGGTTCCCTAAACTGAAGCAGTCCCATTTGCCTGCGTTTGGCCCATATCCCTTGGAACATCTCAGCCAATATATACACCAGAAAGTTACACAAACATCAATAACATCCAGATAACCAGCTTTTAGACCCTCAGATTAAGGAATAAATATAAACCGGGCCTTGGGAGATAACCAGCCCCGCTCTTCAGAACAGTGACATGGAGATTTTTTTTTGAGGCTTGCGAAAGGACAAGTACAGGGCGGCACGGTGTCTCAGTGGTTAGCACTGCTGCCTCACAGCGCCAGGGACCCGGGTTCGATTCCACCCCCGGGTGACCGTCTGTGTGGAGTTTGCACATTCTCCACGTGTCTGCGTGGGTTTCCTCCGGGTGGTCCGGATTCCTCCCACAGTCCAAAGATGTGCAGGCTAGGTGGATTGGCCATGCTAAATTGCCTGTAGTGTTACAGGGATGTGTAGATTAGGTGGGTTATAGGAGGATGGGTCTGGGTGGGTTGCTCTGAGGGTCGGTGTGGACTTGTTGGGCCAAAGAGCCTATTTCCACACTTCTATGATTCCATGGTAGAGCCTTAGTTTAATACCTCTGTCCAAAAGACAGCCCGTCTGACTGTGTAGCACTCCATCAGTGCTGTATTAGAGCATGATGTTCGAGCTCTGAGTCCAGATTTTGGGAGTGGAGTACGGACACACAGCAATCTGAAGCAGAAGCTAAGTGGTATCGAATAAGCTGCAGCTGACAGTGCAGGAAAACAATGCCGGAGAAAATCTACACCTTAAAGAGGAAGAGCTCAGAATTCCTCAAATTGGGTCACGTAACATAGAACTGCAGCACAACAGCATGGGAAGGCCATGGTCTGGTGGTATTGTCTCGGGCTAGTTTAGTTTGGGATTATGGTTGGCATGGACTGGTTGGACTGAAGGGTCTGTCCCTGTGCTGTATGACTCTACAACGAGCTCAAACGTGCAAGCTACGGTTCGATGCCAATCAAATATCTGACCCAGCCTTCCCCTCCATTTGTTACAAACTCTGTATGTGCCACCTCTCTCGCTGACAGGACAGAAATGTTAACAATCCATTGTTGCAACCAACACCCCCACCCCTTCCCCT